AATGCCGATTTAAGGCCTAGGCAATCCTCTGAAAGTTCATGGCAAATGTGAAATCTGTCTGGTAGACTGGTGTTCATGAAGGAATTGGTTCTTGAACCTGGTTCTCACTTTATAAAGCAACCACTGCGTCTTGATCCTGTTGCATTTACCTACCCTCAAGTGGTGACATAGAGGATAAGAGAAGGGGAGAATTGGGTCTTGATATCTCCTACGAATTAAGTCAATCTGGTTGTTGGAACCACAGGGAGAATTCAAAGAAAGAGACTTGGCCAGCCAATATGAAACCTATTTCTGTACTCTGCTCGGTTAGCTTTCCTTTATCCTTTCTCAGGATAGGGGAGAGAAAACTAAGTATCTTTTTGTGACTTTCCATCACGTTCTTAGGAAGGGTTGACCTTCAAATGAGGATTTTTCTGCTTTAAGATTTATTTCATGCTGGCTCTCAGCACATTTGGTTGGTCTGTGCAGTTTGCTGCAGTCAGGAACCTGGTATTAAATTCTGATGTGGTATTTCAGCTGGAAGGAGAAAATCCTGGTTTTGGAGGGGGAAGGAGGAGGGGTTTGGATGAAGACCCTGGTGCTATAAATGATTTAAGCCATCAATGCCATTAAGTGAAGTTAATCATGAAGTGGTATCTCGGCAACTTGCTGATTGAAGGTTTCGCAGCAGAATGACCTCTGTGTGAATCCCGCACCCACAGAAGCTCCGAGTCAGTCCCATCTTCAAATTTTCAGGTCAGAAACGTTTGGAAGACAACTGGATAGGGCACAGGAGAAGCTGCAGGAGAAGGTGGAGGATGGGTTGGGATAGAGGTGAGGAAAGTGAAGGAGAGGCTTTTTGTTTCACCTGCTAGTCTGAAAAGCTACTTTGCTTCTGTGCCCCTCTTTTGATATCTATAGGACAAGGTTAATTCTTAACTCTCATTGTAGCCTACCAGTCAGGTAAGTTAACGTATGTAAAGCATATAAATGCCAGGTGGTATTTCCTGGGCTCATGGAAATAGGGCATGTTTTACTTTCACAACAAAGTAATGCTGATTGCCCCTTGCCGTTCACTAAGTGCTTTTTTGAACTGGGAGGACACCAGTGCTTGGCTGGTTAGAGCTTCTGGACATTAGCTGAGATCGTAAATTCATTGCTGGAGTGGACACCAGTGAGATGAGGGTGGAATTTCTTGTGTCCTAGCTAATGTCTGGATGCAAACTAAGCCATGTACTTGTAGAAAAACAAAAAAAATACACCAGTCTAGTTAGGCTTGTAGCTTAAAATACAAATGTGCAAAGAGCAGCACAAGTCGTGTGACTGAGAGAATTCCCTTTAGGTGTTTCTGTTAGTGGGTGAATAAAAAGGAGCGGAGACACTTGCAGAGCAGGGAGGAGGTAACAAGCTGGTTGGTGTGTGCTTTCTGTGGACTAGACTCAAATATTGCTCTGTTCCCCCTCGCACAAAATCGGAAAAACTTCACTGCCTTTTACAGAGATCCCTTTGCTTTACAGCAATGTGAATGAAATCAGAGTCTGCCCAGAGCTCAGTTGTTTTTACTTAACTCTTTAGAAGAAGTTGTAATGTTCCTACCATATTGTAAGAATCAATACTATTATGCTCTGTTTTTTCAGGTGCTTGCGGGGATGAATGTTTACTCTGCTGAATTTGAAAGGATAAAGGAAGAATACAATGTCCGGGGATATCCTACAATCTGCTATTTTGAGTCAGTTATATTTTGCTACTACTTCAGAAATCATACACTCAACTATAATTGCATGTTCTTATCTTCCAGGGCAAGGACTAAACCTTGTTTTGTTGCTTCAACAGGAAAGGAAAGTTCCTGTTCCACTTTGAGAACTATGGTGCTACTGCAGCAGATATAGCAGAGTGGCTGAAAAAGTAAGGCATTGAACTGCATGCACTCCACCTTTTATGTACTCTTCATTATTTACAGAATGTAATGGTTGAGGAACAGCCCTCTCTCCCTCATTCCCTCTGCTCAGAAGAGCAAACAAAACTACCCCGCTGAGATTGGCTAAACTAGTACAGGGAGATTGCATAATGTTTGGTTTTTAGCATGCATGCCTTGCATTTTACAGTTGCATTTCATCTGTAACAGGAGACCGTCTGTGGACCAAAATAAATGCAGACACGCGGATCTCAGCTTTGTTAAAAATACCAACTTAAATTTCCAGTGGTCTTGGGTGCCTGAACTTAATACCGTGCAAAAGGTCTGACTTCTTTTGTTTTATTAAAAATGTGTGTGCCGAGCACGCAGTTCTCACTGGTTCGTCAAGCTTTAGCTGGAGCCTTCAGAGTGTCTTGCAGAGACAAACTGGAGATCAAGGCACCCCGGATTGCTAGTCATTTTTACAAAGTCTGTGTTTCCCATCATGACATGAAGTGGTGTTGAAAGCATCTTGTTCTACCTAGAGAGAGCTATTTGCAGTCATAAATATTTGGGGGGCTGAATGAGCAAGTGGGACTAGCAGTTGAGAGAGAGAGATAGGAAAGGTGTGTGAGTGTGTGTGTAGTTGCTCTTCAGCTGTGCAAATCAGCACGTGGTGAGTAAGGCTGATACAGCAGCTGGAGAGAGCTGAGATAGTCTGGTGATGGAGAAAAACCATTAGCAGTTAGCCCCGGCTCTTGGACATTATGTCATCTTTGTAACCCTCCCTTGTTTTCTGCAGCCACAGAAATAATCTTGAAATGAAGCTAATAAAAGGAAACAAACATATGGAAAGGAACAAACAGCTGCAAACTATTGTAATAATATGGATTAGCAAAATTGGCTCAGAATAAATGTGTTTTACTGTACTGGTGGGGCCAAGCTCAAGACATACATCGGGTTGCAGGCAGCCCAGGGTCTGCAGCAGTGGTAGGCTAGGTGCTTCAGGACTGGGAACCCACGATGTTCCTCTTAGCATCAGGAGGTGCAAACACTGCAGGTGAGTACTGCCTGGTGGATCAAAGAGGAGGAATTTAGCCATAGTCTTTAAGCCTCATTTAGTCCATTAAACCTTCAGATATGAACAATCACGATGGCAACTCCAGCAATGCTGAGGAGATCCATCAGCCCCTGGAGCAACACTATGACTTCATCACCTGCGCTTTATTATGCTTTTCAGTTTTGCAGGGATGTGGTTATCTCTTGGCTACCACATGTGAAACGTTAGATGTTTGGGATGGGGTTTTTCTTCCCCTGTCTGCCCACATAATATCCAGATAATCCCTGTAATATGCAGTGCCTTTATATCAGTACTGTGACAGCAAGTGAACACAGCTACTGGAGGCAAAGCAGAACAGCTGCAAGCTCTTTCCGACGATAATCTCTGCTAACAAGCCACTGTGGGCTTTGGCTGGTATTTCAGCAGTCCAGAGCTAAAGACAGCTGTTTGTCCTCACTTAATGTTAGTGCATGCTTATTAGTTTCCCAAAAGATGATCTGAGCAGTAGCCTTCTTGCCCCTATTTTGTATAATAAGTACAACTTTTAAGGAAACCACATTGAGAAGTCATGCATACTTGAATTTTGCCAGTAATTGATGTTGCAATTAAAACTGTATACGGGGTAGATCTAGTACATACATAATATTATATTACTCGGAGGAATCTGCAGTACTAGTAGTCAAATGGTATGGCAAGGGCTTTAGGAAAGCCAAAGAGTGTAATTAGATAGCTGCAAGGCGTATAGGCTATATTTCAGAATAGTATAATATTAAAATCCTGTCAGGAAGTCGCTCTGATGCGAGACGTTGCTGTGCGGAGCAGGGGCACGGCAGTGCTGGGTGGACATGGCAGCCTGTGGCGAGCAAAGCCACTGCGTTTTCATACTGTGTGTGCTTGTGCTGTCGTTGTAAATTCTCAAAAGAGAATCCAGCGGACGTTGTGCCATATGAAATAACCTATTTTTTGTGGACACTAGGTACATACTGCAGAAAAACAGCTGTTTTCTCTTCCCTCTCCCACTTTTCTGTTTTTCCCCTCTAAGCGTTACTGGTAAAGCACTGAAAGTGGTTGTTCTGTGCCAAGTTTTTGAGGGCGGCATGATATAACTTAACGAAGGTTAGAATTATTTAAATTATTGAAAGGATGTTTTTCATGTTCTTTCCTCTCAGAACAAGAGCTGCTAGTTTGGAGGGCTCCAACATCTTTTCTTTTACTACTTATGGGAGGTGCTTCTTTCTTACACTGAAGTGTGCTAATGCATCAGTCTTACAGATACTTAACCTCTCTTATCTCCCTAATAGGCGCTGGCTACTATCTGATGGAGTTTCAGGTGGCTTTTTGACACACGGCATTATTAGCATGAGAGATGCTATCTTGTACATACCATAATTCTTGTTTTTTGTCTGATACACAGCTGTATCAGCTGGGATGGTAGGCAAACCAGACAGCTTCTTGCTGCTTTCAGTAGCTGCTCAGTTTGTCTTGCTGTTTTATGGACTCCTCTCGGGCCTTTCCTTAGCACCATCTACTCAGTTAAATCAAGAACTTGTTCTCTGTTCTTAATTGAATGAGCTCTTGATATCTCTTCCAGACTTCTGTCATCCTACTTTTGGTCTTCAGGCATTGGATGTACCTTGTCTCAGTTTTAAATGCCATTTTAGATTTTGCTTGTTGCTTCCTCCAGACCTGGAGGTGCTTCTTACCAACTCCTGTGTAGGCTTATTAGCATGCACAGCATTTTAAATTGGCCAATTTGAATAAACATCCTGTGCCCTGCTTTACTAATTCCTTACTGAAATAGGTCATGCCAGACCCTGCTAAATACAGCGTTCTCCCAGTGCTTTGTAGCCACTGTGTCCGTGTTCATCACGCTCTGCCTACTGAACCCAGCTCCCCTTCCAAATTCGCTAAGTGGCATGGTGTCTTCTGGAATGCCTTCACTCTGCCAGGATACCTGCAGGTTATTGCCCTCTTACAGGCATGGCAACAAGCAAACTGGTTATCTGCTAAGCTTTTAGAGAGTAGACTCCTGTGGACAGGGATCTGCCTCTTTTTTTCTCTCATCTGCTTGGCCAAGTGCAGCTCCGATCTTTTGTTTTGATGTTTGTTTCTCGGTTTGCTTATCATACAAGCAGCAGCAGAGGTGTGCATCACAGTTTTGCATGGATTGCTTAATATTCTTGGATCATACCCGTTGCTTACATCAATAGAATTTGCTGCCTGATTCTGTGTATCTCTCTACTGCTTTTTTTTATCAGACTAGGCTTCCAGCCTAGAGATGAGCCAGGCAGGATAAACAAGTTATCATCCGTTTGCCATTCCTTGTTCCAGGCAGCTAACACAATAATACATTTTAATCAAAAATAGTAAATCTGCTTTCACCAGAGATGGGGTTACATCCAGACCTGTACTTTGCCAAAGAATTTAGGGAATTTTGGGGGGTATTTGGAACTCATTACTACGACTGGCAAGGACAAAATAGCTTCAAAGTCTGGCTCCAAATGCTCTTATGTTTGGGTGTCCTTTGTGTGAACACTGCTTTAATAAGTAAAATGTCAATTAGCATAGTTTAGTTCACCTCTGCCAAATTATCTTTTTAATGTACATTAATAAAAGCCGAGAGCAATTGTTTAGCGGGATGATGAGCACTAAACTGGTCCAGAGGAGCTTGGGTTCAGTTTCTAGATTTGCCACCGTGCCTTTGAGCAGTCTGCCTGGCTCTGATCCATCAAAGATGGTTACACATGTGAAATCGTGGTGAAGTCAGTAGAACATGTCACTTCTCTTTTAGGTTAAGCATACAGTTGAGTAGCTTTTGCTGAATTAAGCCTACAAGCCCACTGCCAAGTGAGGAAATAACAATACTTCCTCAGGTCATGGGGTTGCTCAGGGTAAAACCATGTATTCCTGAGGAGAAATGGTTTGTGGGGCTAGTTCATGGTCCCAACACTGCACCTCCTTCTTTCTCTGTCAGCCCTAATCATGGTGGCAGTATTCAAAGTGATTAGTTAGAGTGTCTGTTTCTGCTAACTAGTTTTTCTTTCATTTGCAATGGCTCCTGTGAACTACAAAGTGTGAATGCTGTGAGAAAGGGAGCAACCTCCTGAGAAGGGTAAAAAGGTGACAAAAAATGCATCTGATTTCTATAATGTAATAACCAAACAGTCTGGTTATCTCCTTGCTCCATCCCCTTCCATTGCTGATCTTTCCTCATGAGCTTCTTGTGGATTTTTTTAATCCCTCCTCCAGTTTTATCTGAGTTTCAGTGCTTATGAGCTCTGGGTGGGTACAATTATGGAAGCTGTTTGGTAGAGTTAGCATGTCATACATATACAGACATCTGCACCAAGTGACTGCTTGCAGCCTGACTTGCCAAAATGACTGCTTAGCACCAGAGAGCTCCTGTTCAGCTGTGTCTGTTTGTCTTGTAGCCCACAGGCACCTCAGCCGCAGGCTCCGGAGACTCCCTGGGCGGACGAAGAAAACGTAGTTTATCACCTGACTGATGAGGACTTCGACAGGTTTATAAAAGATCATTCGTCTGTGCTAGTGATGTTCCATGCACCATGTGAGTTTGTTTTTTTCTATTCTGTACTCTGAGCCAAATACTTGCTAACAGAACCAGTGATGGTTTTCTGTGGAGGTTTCACAGAGCCGTGAAGCCAAAGTCCAGGCTTTTCTTGTTTGCGAAGATTGTTAAATACACAAGGCATGAAATGTTTGTGAAGTTGCTGATTTCAAGTTTAGGATGGAGATGTGTGGAAGACACCCTTTGTAGGCTGGGTCAAAACATAACTGAAGAGTATAATGATGCTTAAGTAGTCTGAGGACTTACCATTTTACAGCATAATTTCCCCTTTTCAGCTCATCTTTTGTGTTGTTTGCTTTGAAAGCAGAGGTCTGGTTGATTGAGCAACTCAGCTTGAGAACCGTGAGCTCCTGAGTCCTTGTTCATGGCTGCTGATATGTCATTTAGAACATTTTCACTCCTCTGCTGCAGTTTGTTCTCTGGCAGTGTAAGGGGGGATGATCACTACCTATTGTGTTGAAGTATGCTAAGACTTGCTCAAAGTTCAGAAAGTCCCCAGGGCTTTTGAAAACTAATGCAGAGCTGGTAGAGATACTATTTACTGTTTGACTGAGAATGCATTGGGATGATTTTTTCATGACTTGACGTTTTAGCTTGAGCAATAAAATGCAGTGGATTGCTCAGAGTTATTGCCTTCAGAAAGCAGTTCCAGCCATGTCGTCCTCCTGTACGCTGTTGGGTGGAAGAGTGCGTTTAGCACTCTGTTTGCTTAGCTTATGTACCCGAAACAACTTACATCCTGGTTCTGCCAGTTCTTTGTGTGTGCGATGGAAGGTTCAGGCTCAAATCTGCTGTGTTTGGTGATGCACGGCTTGTGTCTCCTCTTGCTGCTGTGCTGGCAGTTGCACTTGGGCGAGATGTTCAGTTTCATGGGCATGGATTTGAAGTTTAGGGCTCTGAAGGCAGGCTGCGTGCTCACAGCTGAACAGCGGAGGGTCTTGGCACAGAGGCTGAAATCCTGCTTTCCTTGAAGCTGGCAGGAGTCAGCTCCAAAATGCCTTTTCTGAAGGTCTGCTCATAAGACTCATTTGAAAAACATACCATAATGAATTTCCTTTTCCCGATGAAATGTGTGGGGATTTGATCCACTGAAGCAGACGACTGACTGCTGTTTTGTCGCTGTGTTCACTGGATTATTTGTACTAATGAAAAAGTGGGACCGGAGATTAACACCTGGTCTGAAAACCAAAACACAAGTAGCAGAACTGATGAAGCCTGGCTTGCTCAGGAGTTACCCTTCGTTACCCAAATCCTTCCTTCCCCAGCTTTCTGTGCACCCCGTTGTGCAAGAGCCAGCGTGGGCTGCCGCTCCTTGGGAGCCGTAGGCTTGCTGGGTTGGCTGAGCAGCTGCTGCCAAACAGAAATGTAACTGCTGAATTTCCCTTCTTTCCCTTTGTGCACAGTGGCTTGGGGTAAGTGTCACCTTGCTCTAGCCCCAGATTTCTGTATATTTGCAGAGATTTAGTTGTATTTAAAAGCTTTGCTGTTTTTTGAGTTTGTAAATGGGTGAAGGAGTCCAGTTGTGCATGAGGGAGGAGGAAAAGGAGAAGAAATCAACAGTTGGCCCTGCAAACCTTACTCCCTTAGGAAGTCAGATTAAAAATAGATGAATATACCCAACTACAGTCAAATTTTGTAGTAAAATCAAGTTAGTGATAAATCTGAACAGGACTCTGTTCAGTTTTTAGTTTTTTTAAAATATTCTCTAAGGCACAAATAATACCGCTTTAGGGGTGATGATATTGCGTGGCCTATTTGCAGAGGAGAGGCACTTCTAGGTACATGGGTTTTGTCCTAAGGGGCGTTCTGTGCTAAGGTACAGCAGTACTTTGGCAAATGCTGTTTTAAAAATAAATCAAATGCCTGAATTGGGCTGTTGCAATCTCCTGATAACATGTTCCAGCTGCTCAGAATTGGGATAAAGAATGTTCCTTGCCAGAACAACTTCATTTTAAATGCAGCTGGAGTATTTGGGGCATTTTGTTTCCATTCAGGTGGTAGTGGTATGCCTATGTGCAGAATCCAGCTTACACCTGTGTAAAAGATCTGTGTTTGTAAGAATCCTCTCTGGGGATCCTCAGCAGAGAGTGTGAGGTTTGCAAGCTAATTAACAACAGACAGCTATCATAAACAGTTATCTCCATGATTAAAAGATTTTCTCCTAGCTGCTCTTAAATGTGCTAGTGAACTCACCTTATGAATATTAGGGGATAAATGACTCCAGTAAAAGAAGCAGTAAAAACAGAGGACATCTTACTTGTTTTAGTCTTGGTAGTTTAGGATGAAAAAGTTTTTTCTAAAAATTATGTATTAATAAAAAAAGTTGTTGAAACAGATGTACAAAATAGGTCCAGAATGCAGAGCATACTTTTGTACAACTAAGAATAAGCAAGAGGATTTCAACACTGGCCTGGAATTAGCAAGTACTTAAAACCCTCTGTCACCATGCAGCATACATGTGATTTGGAGTCAATCTTGTGTTCATGAGAAGCTCTTTTGCTAGAGGGAGAATTGTTTCTGTGATGCTTTAATTGCATAGTCAGATGGCCAATGCATTGAGTGTAGTATTAAAAGATGTGTGGGGAATTGGAAGCTTTTTATTCACGTCCCCCCCACCCAAGTGCTGAAGACGCAGCTGAACCAAAGGCATCCCTGGTAAATACCTGTGAACTGCAGAATTAGGCACTGTGATGAATGTGGCCAGTTGCCTGTGGCTACTAATGATCATCCCTGAGGACCACACTGTAATTATTTACAATCAGTTGCACTTACTAGCCCAATTAAGGGCGGCATGACTACGTTCAAACTAGAGCAGCCACGTGTGATTTAAACATATCAGGAAGCTCTGCAGCATGCAGCTTGCACCTCTTGCTATCAGAGACCTTATACCTTTTCTGCAATAATTTAGCACAACTGTTAAATGGAAGATGTGCTGCTTGGAGTCGTTGCTGCTGGCCCTGAGAAATGTGGGTGCGTGTGGGCGGGCAGGATGCGTTCCTCCTGCTTTCGGTTTGCAGGTCACTAGGGACACGAAGGAGGATTTCTGACCTTCTGGAACTCCGTTGTAAAGCCCTTAAGAGGATGTCCGGTGAAGCTGGATATTTAGCGTAGGTTAACAGCAACCCAGCCAACTAGGAGTCTGAAGGCACTCTCCCTCCCCAGCCATCTGTGAAGGGTGTGCAGTGTTGTGCTTCTTACTCGAGCATTTTGCTGAAATTTTGTAATTACTGGTGGCAAGCATAGCGTTATGCTGAATATATCCAGAGTGGAGCCTTGCAGACATCTGAAGTGTTTTTTCTATGTGTTGCTGTTATACCGAAAACTTCAGTTATGAACTGAGATCTCCTGCACCATACACAAGAACAAACAAATGGCCCTTTCCCCCAAAGGATTTGGAGTTTTTGCTTGGATGGATCGTATTTGCTAACGTGAGATAGCACAGTGAGTGGGCCTATTTCTGAGGCTGTAACAGAAAGTGCATGGCAGCAACCCAAGCTATTTCTGTACCATAACGTAAAGGCACCTATGCTACTATGATGGTCCTCTGTTCGCAATGAGAATAAAGACTCCATGTCTGCATGTGCTGCTTGACATCTAAGCCAACAAGCCTACAGCTGATCAATTTATTTAGATGCCCAAGATGACAGCTGTGTTCTGAACATCTCTAAATATGGGTTATGCTGCCAGTCAAGTGTTGCTAAATGCTTTAGTGACATGGGGACTGTCTGGGACTTAAAATGCTCCGGAGTCACTTGAGCACAAAAAAGCCCTGTTTGTGTTTTCAGTTTCCTCATCAAACTGTTAGAGTCAAATGCAATTTTAAAAATAATCCTGTCCAAAATATTACCTAAATTAGTACAGGTTGCAGTCTGACTCGATTTTATCAAAGGAGTAAAAACCCCACGAATTTCTCATTCTACATTTTTCACAGCATTTTTCTCCAAAGTGCAGTCTCAGTCCTGCACAAAATAAACCTAACCAAGATGCTGAGAAGTCAATTCAAATACTACTGAAGGGTGTTTAAAGTCTAGGATTGAAAATCAAATCAATTCGGAAACGGGTTCTGAAACATGTGCTTTTCATGCACAGGAGTTACTTTTCGTCATGTTTTGTTAACACAAATGACATTGCTGACATTTTAAGGCATACCTGTCCCTGCAGCCTCACACAGAATGATGCCCTGCTGCTACCGGGAGCTGTAGCCTCCCCGTGTCCGTTCAGCAAGCACAGATCCGAGTAGTCGGAGATGCTGATGAGTGGTGGCTGTCAGTCTCCTCTGATGGTTGCTGGGGGGGGGTTCCCCCCCGCCCCAGTACCCCATCCGCCGTAGCAAAGGCCGTGGGCCAGTACTGATGCCAGAGGTAACAGAGAGGAAAAAGGGGCCTCGGCCATTGTTAGTCTGAGCATGCATTTGCTTTTCAAAGGATTAAACTATGGAAATGTTTTTCCTGCAACATTTCTTTCTTTTATATGAGCTTAAATTCAAGTTAAACCTGTCTTCTTCCCAGCCCTCTTCACAGAACTTTTTCAGAGACTTTATATAAGAGGTAGTTGCAGGACTTAAGGTTAGAAAAAATGTCAATACCCTGAGTGGGATATTGGAGCCATCAAGGATTTCCTCCCTTGATAAGGAGGGAAGGCAGGGAAAACCAGCTCTTCTTTCTTTTTCTTTTCTTTTTTTTCTCCACCCCCCAATTTGTTTTTGAGAACTGCTGCGGAGATGTAGCCCTGATACACCTTTTCCTGCTCCCCCCTAATGTAAGGGAGGACAAAAATAAATCTGGAGATGACAAAATGCACTACAGTTTTGATGTGTTGTTGAAATGTCTGTCAAATTCCTTTCCTATCCTCGGATGTTTTCTCTCCCTTTATAAACCAGCCTGATAAATTACGCAGTTGGTGCCTTCCAAAGCCAACTATTCAGCTTTGCAGGTTTTTAATTGCATAGGGAGCTGTTTTATCAATTTAGCTTTGAAAAA